TGTAAAGTTCTTATGAAATTCCAGTTTCTTAATATTTATGTGTCTAGTCACATGACCTCTCTGCCATCGAATGAGCCTTCAGGAATGATGATTTTCTCTTGCCATTCTACTTTCGCTCCAGTATCCAGAAATTAAAGCAGTTCAACTGCAGAAGATCCTGAACCGCATGCACTGGTCAAGTAAGTGTTTGGAGCCGTGCTGTAGGACGCAGAGGGGACACAACCTTTCTGAACTCTGTCTCTGTTCCTCTTTCTCTTGGTGGGACATGTGAATTACTGAGCCCCGCCCCACCCAGCAGCTATGTTTTACACCAGGGTGGGCTATGTGGTCTGACAAAGCAGTAGAAAAATTCATGCAGCTTTGAAAATAGTTCTGTTGCGTTTTATTTTGTTTTGCTTTTGCTTAGTTTGGATGTAGAGATATATGGCAGTGAAAACGATTTCTGCCATTTTGCTACTTTGAAAATAAAAGCTAAGTGCTTCTTTTTTGGCATATCAATTCCATGTGGAAGAACTGCACCCATTTTCTCAACCTGGGATATAAATATTAAGTATTGACTAGTCTACCCAGGGAGCTCTCTGATGAACTCAGGTTTAAATTGATCAAGCTATAAAAATCTGAAAGGAGAGCACACACCACCTAGATGATGCAAATGGGTGTCTATGCTTTCATATGAAGCTGGGGATAAATTATAAGGAAGGCTTAAAGGCCATATGAAATTTTTTATACACATATTTGGAGTGAGAAGAATATGGAAGAAATAGGCTGATTTCTCCAGAGAGGAGAATGAACTTCAAAGTGAAAACAAATAAACAATTAAAAAGTATTTGCTGCCTAAGATAGATGATCGCTTCTCTTTTATATGAAGCCAAGATTTCAAACCCAGACAAATTATAGTCCAAGCTATTGGATGATTCAGAGTTTGAAAGAATTTCCAGGTGGCTTCTCAAAGCCAAATTCCATTATCAGTAAAAGATCCAGAAGGAAAGACTCTAGAAATTATAGAACATAAGAATCCTCCTCTCACCTCCCCGACCCCTGAAAAAAATTCTAGCCCTGATTCTTGGCTGATTCTAGTTATCTAGAAGAGATGGTTCCTACACATTTAAAATTTTTTAAATATCTTTATCACAAGTACGCAAAATAGTTTTCCAAAGAATATATGGACAAATTGCTTTTATTTAGTCTTAGGACAGGGTTTCTGGATTGATAGATCAGAGAACTATTGTAGATTTTGGCAAAATATGTGGTAAAGTCTCCCATGATGAATGACAAAATGTGGGTTGGAAAATAATAACAATATTAGATGTAATCGTAACAGATCCTATCACCATTCCCAAGAGTTATACAATATAAAATCAGAGGGAAAATCTGTCTAGTTATAGCTGAGAGCCTAGATATTTGAATGTTTAGATGAGAGTTTCTAGATTCTGTCCCTGGTCCCATTCACTTTCCCGATTTTTATTAATGTCTTGGAAGAAGACATGGAATATAGGCTTATTGGATCTGCAGATGGCACAGAGCTGGGAGAAGTCGTTAATATAATAGACAGCAGAATTGAAATCCATAATGTTCCCAACAAGCTGTGCCCATACCAAAAAAGATGAAATATAGTCAGGAAAATAATAAACCACTGCCATTATGATATTTTTATAAAATGGTTGCACAAGTTCTAAAGAGAAGAGACCTCATTTTTGTGGCAGTTTATGTGAAAGATACTTGGTTAATGGAGTCGACCTTCAGCTTAACATGAGCTAATAGTTTCAAGTTGCTGCTAAATGAGCTCATACAAATTCAGGCAGCATTTAAGGGAAGCATTTAGATTTGTGTGTTTGAAATCATGTTCCAAGAAACATTAGAAACTAAGAGGTTTTAGTAAGTGTTCCATGAAATAAAAGGGGTTAGGTTCCATGGTCAGTGGTACTTGGGTTCTCATTACCTGTCATGTGAGGTCCATGGTGAATGGACAAAAGGATCTATGGATGCAGAGTATCCCACATTTATTTGACCACAAAACTTGTTTTCTGCAGAATATAATTTGGGAAATTCTGACCAAAAACTTTGGAAGCGATAGGTCCATTGTATTCTGTTTAACTGAATTGCATCTGAAGGATTGTGTTCAAGTCTTGGTACCATATTTTGGAGAGATACCTGCAAAATACTGGGTCCAGAAAGGGGTGGTGAAGGTTAGGAAACCACCCCCAATCCCCGCTCTGTCCACTGCTCTCCCTCTCTCTCTTCCCAGCCCCACTACGTGGTGGTCGTTAGAACTGTGGCTGGTGGTGTGGCACCGCCTCTTCCTGCTCAGGAGAGGGACGTGCAGCCCTGGGGCCAGCTGCCTGCACTCTTTCTGCTCCTTTTCAGGTCTAGGGAGCGCACAGCCCTTCTTCAGCCTTGAAGCCTGCCAGGGGATGCTGGCCTTGCTGGACGTATCTTTTCAGGTTTGTGGGTGGATGCTGCCCTTCTGGTTGAGAGCTTCATGCGGGGTTTGAACCCCAACCCCAGCCCTTACTAGTTTGGGATCTTGGACAGGTCACTGAACCTCATTGTGCCTCCAGGTGCTCCTCTGAAGCATGTGCTCCATAGGATTGATGTGGAAACGCAAATGGGCTAACACAGGCAAAGTGCTGAGGACAGAGCCATCATCTAATAGGTGATCAATGTTAGGTGATCAACATTAGCTACTCTCAACAATAACCTCATTTCCTGAGAGGGAGGATGAGGCGGCTGCAAGGTGATGTTGGTTAACACCTCTCCAGGTGTACAAGAGCCTTTACAAAGGCCTTGGGGCCCTATGTTTTCCATCTGGTGACCGGGAGGTGGCTGCCCCCTTTGCAGATCAGAAACCAGGGCTCAGAGAGGTTAAACAACATACCATGAACTCAGCTTTCCTGGTTCTTAGCCCTGCAATTTTTCTAGCAAACGCTCTGCCTCTCTAAGTGAACAATTTTATTCAAAGTTTTGTTATCCACACTACAGAGAGCCATAAAGAGTGATAGTCTGGCGGGGGTTGTAAAAACAAAAACAGTCTGCAGAAACTCAGAGACAGCATAGGACGGTGGTTAGGTGTACAGGCACTGGAGCAGGTCTGAGCCCTGTCACCAGCTGTGAACTTCAACAAGATCACAACCTCCCTGAGGGCTCATTTCACCCCCTAGAACATGGGGAGGTTAAGCCTACCTCACCCGCCTGGCATAAATGAAGTAACACAGATGGTAAGTGTGTAACAGGGCTACACCACAGTGAGGGCTCCGAGGTGGTGTGTAGTGGTATTTTGATTCAGTCTCTCTGATGCCAGGGGTAGCAGGATGTGGTTGGTCTACAAAGCTAACCATTAAACTTTGAAAATATAAGAGGCACCCTTAGCCACAGTATGCCTGACTCCTTCTATAAGCTGGTTTTTAAACAATGAGAAAATGTTACTGTTTTTTATTTAAATCGCATCAAATTGGCCACGTCAAAATATCTGCTTCACTAAATGATAACTAACTATGGTCAATACCATCATCACCTCATCGTCGTCACTTCTCCCTGTGCTGCTGTGTTCTGGCTCATTCTGGCCTTTCCTAGCAAGGGCGAAAGACCCTTGGGCTGGACTGGCCAGCAAGGTGAGGCCGCCTTGGGATATCGGACACTGAACGGGGCCGTGCACAAATTGCACACTGCTGTGTGGAGGGCCGATCGCTGCCTCCAGGGTGTGGGTGGGACGCTCCCTGGCAGCTTTTACCTTAACCTGTTGTCAGCTTAACGCGTCAGGTACTGTGAGCATCCAGGAATTCAGGGACCTGTGGAAGCAGCTAATGCTCTATCAGGTAAGAACAAGCCTTACCACACATCTGCAGAGGACGGTGCAGAAATGGCAGTTCTGCAAAGTTATGGAACACGGTTCTCTCCCCTGCAGCCCTTTATATCCAATTCACCAAATCTCTGCTCCCCGGCCAGCGAGCCTTTCCTCCAAACTCAGACAGCCTGTTGCACTAGTCTCCTGAATTTCCAAAACGTGTATCTCATCACGTTGCTTCCTTTCGAAAAGCTTTTTAAGGCTCCCCATTGGCTTCAGAGACAGTCCAAACTCCTAGCACACTTGGCATTTAAAGTCCTTCATAAATTGGCTCTGCCCTACTCTTCCCGTCATTGCTCACAACTTGCAATTCTCCCACTTGTCCCCTGAGTCAGACCGTTGGAACCACTTCAAAGTGTGGCTGATGTGCTTAGCACATTCACCTACACCCAGACTGTCTGCACCCGTGACAAAAGGACCTTTTGCTTTCTCAGCAGCCTTGTTCCATAAAAAATGCGAGGTGGTGGGATCCAGGCATGGACCCTCCACCACATTCTTATCCCGATGGCAGGCCCTGCTGGGGGAGCCTCAGACGTCCCTGACAGTGTCCCTGTGGTGCTGGCATTGGGGCACGTAGGGGCTCTGAGTGGGTGCTTGGAAGTGCCTGGCTTCCTTAGCCTTTGGTTTGGTTCTTTGCAGGAGGTCTTCCACAAGCAAGACAAAAACGGATCAGGCTACCTGAACTGGGCACAGCTGCGGGCGCCATGAGGGAGGCAGGTAGGCACGGGAGGAGCGGGTGCCACCAGGCTGTAGGCCCGCACGGGCAGGTGCACGCTGGCAGGGAGGAGGTGGTGCGGGGTGTTTTGAAGTGACTGATACACAGTGTGACTCCCAAAGACATGGATTGGCACATAACACAAACATTCACTGTTATTGTCACCGTGATTAAAGCTAATTTACTGAGGGTTGGCACGTCCAGGTCTCACTTAATCTTCAACAACACCTTGTTATAATCCCTGCTTGACAGAGGAAGACACTGAAGCTCAGAGAAGTTAAGTAAGTTGCCTGGGGTTTAAATCCACGACCTCCTGGCTCCAAAGCAGATGCTCTTGACCGCCGAGCAGACTGCCTCCTGCCTTGAAGGCCTCATGCAAGTTGCCTAACAGGGCAGGGGTGGGGAATGGAGAGAAGGTAAAATAAATTGATTAAATAATTAAACAATTCAAAATGAACCCCATAAGAGAAGATCTCCATGCTATCAGGATTCAGGTCCCTGAAGCGGAGGGACCACTAAAGGGGCCTTAGGCGGGAGGGGAGCCAGGTGCAGGACCCCAGCACCCACGGCGGGAGCCTGTGCTCACTGCAGGAATCGTGCTCAGTGATGACGTGTGCCAGCTGATGCTGATCCGCTACGGCGGCCCCAGCCTCCAGATGGACTTCGTCAGCTTTGTGCATCTGATGCTGCATGCGGAGAACATGGAGGGTGAGCTGGCGGGAAGGAGGGCGGGCCAGGGCTTCCTCTGCACGGCTGTGATCGCCCACTTGTCCCTAGTTCAAGCACGGGGGAAGGACAGCTGCCAGCTCAGAAACAGCAGGCCAGGGGAGCTGTGGGGAACCTGGCCATGTGCCTGGGAAACTTGGCCACATCCACCCACACTATTGATACCCTGCCTTGTTCCAGAGGCAAAGGTTGGAAGTAGCTCAGTTAGGATAAATGTGGCCGCATGAGGTTATACACAGGCAGAAATTGGATTCCCTCACATTTTCAGCATGGATGTGGTTAAGGTGAGGCCATGAATGGGAGGAAGTAGATCATAATGTTTCCAAGACACACACAAAAATTAACTGTGTTCCTTTCTGCTGCATTTTCACAGAAGTTTTCCAAAATTTAACCCAAGATGGCAAAGGAATATACCTCCAGAAGCCAGAGGTAAGACTTTCCCCAAGGAGGCAGCTGACATCTTCTTAGGTAGAGGTGGCCATTGCAGGGCCAGGCTCTAGTGACGGAGGACTCTGGGGACCCTTCATTCTACTGAGTTTGAGACTTAGCACTGCATTCATTGCGCTCATTCATTCATTTATCCGTTAAATATTTACTGAGCATCCACTTTGTACTAGATACATATGAAGGGAACAGGAGACTGACTTAGTGTATCTAGCATGTACGATCATGATGCCATGTGACAGATCCACAAACTTCACCAGCCTACAATAAGCACTTATTTAGCTCCTGAGGCACATGGCCAGGAGTCCGTGGATCTCGGCTGGCTTGCTCACGCCTCTGTGAGTTTGCTGGGGGTTTTGCTGGGTACCTTAATTGAAGAAACTCTGACCAAGCTTGCCCTGCTCGGGACAATGACAGCAGCACAAGAAAGCGAGTTTAAACATACAAGGCTTCTGAGACCAAGGCTCTGATCTGGCACACCTGCAACTCATTTTCTTGTCCAAAGCAAGTCACATGGCCAAGCCCATTTCTGACAGAGGGGGAAAGCGCCTCCTCCTCTTCCACATCCCTTGGCAGACATGGCAGGGCATGGACACAGAGGGAGTGAGGACCTGGCTCTAGCAAGGAACTCTAGCACAGACGGTAACGGGAGAGCTAGTCTAGATAGGGGGTTCCACCAAGGCCTTTCTGGAGGAGGTGGCATTGAAGTTGAAACCTAGAAGACATTCATTTGTTGAATGAATGAGGTGATATGTCTCGGAAAAGACAAATTCATGGATGGCACCAGTTGTCCTCCCTGATCATTGCAAATGCACTGATTTACGGAGCACCTGCTAGGTGCCCGGTGTGGTGCTAGGTAATGTTTACTGCAAGGATGTTGGAGTCTGGAGTTGAAGTATCTGCTCTTCTTTTTTCTGCAACGCTTCCTCTGTTTGGGCTGCTTAGAAAGGATTCTGTAAAAGCTGGGGTATCTCCCCTGGTCTAAAATGTCCATTCTATGGAATAGCCTTCTAAGAGGTAGAGACCCTCAGCCTATGTCTCCCCTCAGTCACTCCAATGTCTATGTGTGAAGGTGGGATTCAGCTGGAAGGACAACGGCTAAAGTCTTCCAGGCCCAGCCCCAAAATGCTTAGCCCTACACCGAGCTGCTGAGGCATCAGTTCCTGATCCCAGGCACTCCTCCCCCAGTGGTAGGCTCAGAGATGGGGGAACAGGGGGACATGAGTCTGGCACCTGAAACAGCACAGCCCACAGCTTCATCAGGCTCCAGCAAAGCAAAGTGCTGATCTGGACAGGTCTGAGTTGAAGCCACAGCACTCCTTGTTACTAGCTACGGGACCTTAGGCAAATCTCACTACCTCTCTGGGGCCTCAGCTGCCCCACCTGTGAAATGAGTGGAGCTAGGTGGTCTCTGAGATCACCTCCAGCTCTGACCATCTCAGCTCAATGAGGATGAGACCAGCAGGACCACCCAGGGTCTGCAGGAAACGGAAGCCACCTTGTTGGAATTTCACTCTGGGGCTTTCTTTGACAACACTGGTAACGTCACCCTTATCAGCTTCATCATCGGCATCATCATTTTGATGGATTGGCCTGGGGAGTGGTTTCCCCAGAGGTCCCCTCTATATGAATTAGAGGGATCCTTCATCACACCCACAGAAAGCTGTCAGACCAAGGGGCCCATAAGTGTAAACACGTAGAATATGCTCTAATGGATTTCTGCTACCCAGTCTGCACACCTGCACGGAGCTGGCAGGAGCTTGCCAAATTGAATTCATGGGAAAAAAGTCATTGAGAATTGAATACAGAATCAGCCTCTATCTTGGCTGTCATCATTCATAGGTGCCATGAGAAGTCAAGGTCGATTATATTTCGGGTTGATTTATACTTACTAATGGATGGTGTGGTCCCTCTGGCTAAACCATCATTAATGTCCTGTCTCCATGGCTCCCCAGGAGTAAGAGGGAGGAGGCCCAAGTTAGAGGTAGGTCTGAACTGACCTTCCTTTGCTTTCCCATCACGTCCAGTGGCTGATGCTGAAACTGTACTCCTGAGAAGGCTGGAGCCTCGTCTGCCCTCGCTGAGGACCCTGCACATGGCCAAAGGGCAACCTTTGGCTGAGACCAGCCCACACCCACCCAGCTTACTGTTCTTCAGGACCATGTGACCAGCCATCACCTTCTCAGCTGGGAAGACTTCTCTTCTATGGCTCCCTCCTTCAGATGGCCAGCATGCAGAAAGGGAAGGCCGGCAGTAGAAACTGCCTTGGATTTGTAATGGCCAGGTTTCTTTCCCTGTGACCATAACCTTGTCACAAGCAGGGATGCTGCCTGACGCGGCCTGAGCAATCTGACTCCAGAGCTGGTGCACGTAGCCTCTATACACGCTACCTCCATAGCTGCCCAGCTCAGCAACCTCAGACATGCCAAGTGTCATCATATGTGGGTAATAGTCTAGGTGTCAAGGTCTGAAGAGGGAATGATATATCCTTGACATCTATACCAGCATTTGTAAATTGGTAGAGACATAGCCTTTCAAGTGGGCTTTCAAGAACACATAAAATAAGAAAAATGGCAGGGTCCAGGTGGGTGGGCTGGCTCTGGCATCTGAGGTCACTGGGTAGCCACCTGCTGACAGTATCTCCAGATGATTGGATTTGGAGGAACCCAGTGGATTTAAAACACTTGAGTTCTCAAAGAGCTTCCAGCCTGTGACAGATGTCAGTCTGTTTACTTGACCTATAGACTATCAGATCCATTTCAAATCAATCCAGAAATTCTCCGTGTATCTACTTCAAAAAAGAACAACAAATCCATGTTAAATTGTAGAGTCAATCAGTGGGTGGTTGGTATATCTGATTTTTTGAATTACCATGATACATCATTTTTGTGGCATCCCTACCAACCCAGAATACAGGTGTCAAACCAGAGAAAAGACCATTTTCCACCTACCAACCCAGAATACAGGTGTCAAACCAGAAAAAAGACCATTTTCCAAAGTCCATGTATTTTATTCATAGGTTAACACCTCAGAGCCAGTTGTTATTTGAGGTTAAGCCTCTCGATTCCAAAAATCCAAAATTTAAAATGCTCCAAAATATGAAATTTTGAGCACTGACACAACACTCAAAGGAATTTTTGGATTTGAGATGTTCGACTCACAAGTATATAATGCAAATATTCCAAAATCTGAAAAAGCTGAAATCTGAAACATTTCTGGTCCCAAATATTTTAGATAAGGGATACTCAACCTGTATTCTATTTCCTATTAATTTACAAACAGTTCCCACTAGCGTGGCTGTCTGGTTTCCAAGTCCATAGCAGACTAAGGGAGGAAGCTGAGCGAGGGGATGAAAGGGTGTCCGCTGGGAGCAGAGCCACCGGAGATTTGCCCGCCTGACAGACGGTTACTGTACCCGGCAAAAGGAGCACTGCAGAGCGTGGTATAAGGAGGCAGAAAAGTATTTTATATAGGAAAAAATTTGTGTTTATTCCAAATGATAAGATGTAAAATGGTTTGCCATAAAGTGCCAGATACATGAGGAATTACTCTTTTTATATTATAAATGATGATCATGTATTTATAAT